GACAACTTACACTCGAGAAAGGCGCTTGCGAAATTGATGCAAACGTTAGCATCCCAGCTCCTGACGCCACGCTTCTTGGCGGTCTCGGGTATGGAGGCCGTCGGGATCTCCTCGATCTTGGTGAGGATGCCTTGCTGGTTGCGGAAGCCAACGATAATCTTGGGCACGCCAAGCAGGAAGGACTGGATCCAGAACTTCATGAGTTTGCGCTCGAAGGTGTTCATACTGCCCTCGTTGCGGATCTCAACACTGGTCTTGAGCTCGACCCAGTTGATTGGCGCTCCTTTCTCCGTCGGTTTCGAATCCCATACTGCGAACTCGCATCAGCATGGTGCAAAGGTTTGCCGGGTAAGGGCCGCTTACTCGCATCGACCTCTCCTCCCAGACACATGATGCTGCTACCTATGCCAGTCCGAACTACTGAGCAATATTGGGCCTTATTGTTGACAATTTCACCATCGCGATTCTCGATGTACTCTCTGGACACCTCGCCCCAGGGCCGAGGTAGACAAGATAACGTCTCAAACTTGTAGCCTGTCACCTAGTACGTAAGTACGTTCTGCAGGAAGGGCCCATATTGTGATGCTTACCCCAGTATGTCATTACCTCAGGTGGGAACTGGCCACGACGTGACTGTTGTGACCTTTGCTGCTCTTCCCTCGAAGCCTGCTTGTAAGCGTGGTGCTCCTCGATAAATCTGAACCACGGTCAATCTACCTAGTCAACACAAATTGTGGTGGCAGTTCCTACATGGAGTCCTTAGTGAATGAATTAGTAAGTACCCCCTCAAACGTTGCTGGACGGACTGCGCACTTGATATAGAGTAGCGTTCATTTCGAAGCTGCATATGTGCTATGTTAGAAAAACCGCGGACAACATGTCGGAGAGGTTGCCACGCACCCGTCTCGATCATCAAAAGGAGCAGACATGATCTGAGTCTTGTCAGTATAAAAACTCCCCAGATGGGTAACGGAATTGGAAGGGAACATAAGGCACCTTGGTCATCATGCCTCGCCACGTGATGATATTTGCATCGATCTTCTTTCCTTCCTCCTTTTCGTGTGCCATTATGGTCTTGAGAAGACTGTCAAGGTGCTCATCTCCAGAGTCGTCATGCTTATCGAACGTATCGAACCCCTTTGAGAGATCTGCCCCTAATTCAGGGGGATAGTACCATTGCATGGAGGAATCGTCTAGGTGAAACTCATGCTTGTCGTCGTATGAGAAACAAGCTATCTCCTTCTCATTGTCAGTACGTGGTCTACACGAATAATGCTTTGACGAGTTGTATTTTTGCGCTGGCGATGTAGGTAAGCAGGTGGCTGCATCGTACCTTTGGTCGTTTCACCGGCTCACTGTCACCTGCGAACCGGCTGATGGGCTGGACCTGGAATTCATTCGCCATGGTGGAAATCTGCTTCGACCAACGTCCCCAGGATGATGCTCTCCGATATGATGACCGCAAGACTCGAGCAGAAAGAGCGGTTGGTGTGAAGATCATTTGTGAAGTCGCAAAGTTTCACGAAACTGTTTACGAACCGCAAGCTTGAACCACCGAAAAGAAAGCTTGAGCTCGCTCGGTGCCGTTGTTGACGGGGACCACGTTGAGTGCGCCCCACGTCTCAGCTTCAGGGAAGGGGAGGGGGGGCGCTGAGGTCGCTGGGCAGCAAAGCTCCCCGCGTCTCCCCTCCAACAAGGCGATCTTCAGTGAGCCACGGGCCCTGCTGTATTTACTTTACTTTTACATGCCTGTCGCATTCCGCTTCCTACAACCACCACCACAATAACAATAACGCCAACAACATCGCTCGCCGATATCCTTAACTCACGATTCCACTCGCTCGAAGATAGATAGCTACATACCTACGCATGCACACACGAACACCACGAAATCTCGCTCGCACCCGAACCTCCCCGCCGCCGCGCACGCGATGGCCGACCGCGCCGCAGCACCACCGCCACCGCACATAATGCGCCCATCCAGCCGAACCGCGCGCGCACCCGCCGCCGCCACCGCGACCTCGGGGGTACGACGGAACCTGTTCCAGAGCCAACTGACGCGGCGGCCAACCGGTCCGAACCCTCACCCTCACCCTCACTCCAGCACGACCGCCTCCACCTCGTCAACCGAGCAGCCGCCGCCGCCGCCGCCGATCACCGTGCACCACGGGGGGCTGCGCGGGGCGCTGGGCGGGGACCTGCTGACGCTGTCGATGATGGAGACGGCAGCAGCAGCAGGCGGCGGCGGCGGCGGTGGTGGACAGCCGCCGCCGCAGCAGCAGCAGTTCGGTTACTACGGACCGTACCACGGCGGCGGCGGCGGCGGCGCGCCGGGGATCCCGGGGGTCTCGTCGTCGTCGTCGTCGTCCGACATCCTGGTCCGCGGGCCCGACGGCGAGCCCGCGGTCGGCGACCCGCCGACGCCCGCGCTGGAGAACGACCCCGACGACGTGCCGCCGGGGGGCGCGCTCGACGACGTCCAGGAGAACGAGCGTACGTTTTTCCTTGTTGTCTACCTCCTATATACCTACCTAGGTACCTACCTACCTCATGTACCACGCGCGCCCCTGGCATTCGCTGCCTGGCGGGGTGGAAGAAATATACCTACCTACTCTCGCGCTGGAGTATACGACGGCAGGAGGGGAACGACAACGAGGTTAGGCTAGCTGGACGTACACAAAGACTGACAGGACGCAACGGAACACAGGCGAACGGCGCAAGCTAGCGGAAGCGGTGCGGCAACACCACCAGATCATGCCGGCGCAATCTGAAGGCAAGTGACCCGACCGACACAAGGGGGGGCAGGAAGGCAGGCAGGGAGGAGAGCGGTTCACGTTCTATGGCTGCTTCCTGATCTCCAGGTCCGTAGGTATGATGTATAAGGCCAGCGCTAACACCAAGAGCAGAAGTCCTCGAGACGTTACGGGCGAGCATGCGAGCGCAGGTGGCCGCCCTGAGCGAAGACAACTGGATGTACGAGCCCGAGGAGCCGGTCCGCGGATGAACGAACGGAGGTCTCCATCTCGTCGTGTTCGTCGGCAATGATGATGGTCTCGTAACGATACTTCATTAGGTCTAGTCCTGCTTGCGCGCCAGAATCGCCGACACCTCGCTGCCTAAGATCGATCTAGAGTACATGACGCCACAACTAGTCAAGGCCCTCGGCGGTCGGCATATTTGCCGGCGGCGACCTGACGGCCGGTCTTCTGGCGCCTCCAGGGCCGCCTGCACCTCCTCCGCCGCCGAAGAAGCCGCTCATCATGTCCATCAGCGGGTTGCTCTGGCGGGGGCGCTGGATGTGGAAGTAGTCCTCGGCGATGGTCTCGAGCGCCTCGGCCCAAAGGTCGTTGACGTCGCGGAGGTGGGCGGCATACTTGCGCGTCAGCTGGAGATAGACGTTGGCGCTGCGGCGCGGAACGGCGAGCAGCAGCAGGCCGAGAAAGTTGAGCAACGGCAGGCTGGGGTACACGCGCACGTCGGGTGCGGTACTGCTACCGACGGTCTGCGCGCCCAGCTGCGCGCCCTTGTCCCCATCCAGCGCGCCGGTGAAGACGCGGTACGCGGTGTTGGCCGCCCGCACGTTCTGCATTACCAGGTACGGCAGCACCGCGCGGCTGGCGTACACTGCCGCCGTGTGTGCATCGTCTTCCTTATACCACTCGTACTCCATGCGCGCCAGCACCTCGGCCGAATCCTTCGTCCCCAATATCAGGTGTCGTTCGGCATCGTATGGCTCGTGCTCCTCCGCATACAGTGAGCCGGCAACGTGGTGTAACTCGGGATCGCCGGCGGGGTAGTCGCCGTACTTCGCGGACCAACTAGAGGGGAGCAGAGGGTCAGCCAGGCCTTTCGTATAGCTCGTCCAGGAAGCTCGTGTATGTCTAGACCCTAGGCATTGAGGGGCAGCCATAGATGGATGGACAGGCACGAGGGTGATAATAGAGACAAAGAAAGGCAAACCCACGCCATCATCTCGCCAATGAACTTCTTGCGCGTAGGCTCGCGGCTGTCGAACAGACGCAGGCAGGTCAGCAGGCGGCCCTTGCTGGCGGTGTCGGGCGGCAGCTCGGCCTGGCGGTAAACGTCGACGAGCAGGGCGCACAGGTCGCCGCCGCTGCCGCCCTGGCCGGCGCGCAGCAGTGCCTGGGCGACGCTGGCCAGGATGTCGACCGCCGCGTCCCAGTTGGCGGCCTTGGTGTAGCGCGCGGCCACCACCCGCGTCTGCTGCTGCGCCTCGTAGTACTGGCCCTCCGCGATCCGCTGCTGCAGCCGCGCGATGATCTTGCCGATCTTGTCGCCCTTGCTGCTGCTCATCGTCGCGGTCTTCGTCGTCGTCTTCGTTCGTCGTGAAAGGTCGGTAAGTGTGTGTATGTGTATGTCGGGATTTGCTGATGCGTGCGTTTGTGTGTGCGGGCGTGCCGGAGCACGAGGTAGGCGTGTGTAAGGTGGGTAGGTTGGTAAGTAGGCGGGGAGATGGGGAGGTGGTGACGGTGATGGCTCGCTTCTGGGCAGACAGCTCAATTGTGCAAGATACCCCAAGTATACAGGCTGTACCTACTTTCAACTGCAAAATAATCAAGGAGGCGGTATAGCGTCTGCTCGTGCTGAATAGACCGTTCGATTGAGCTCCGGTTGAGGTGTTCTAGGTTGATAGCTCTCGCCGTTTGTCACAGCCCACGTTGCCAGTTCTGCCAAGCTGGGGTGCCCCTCCTTACCCTCCAAGCCCTCCTGATGAGGTAAGGACTTATAGTACCGTAAATTCTCGAGACGTCGGTGCTTCTCTGGCCCCAAGCTCCGTCCTGCATGCCCTGTCTGCCTGCCCTGCCCAGTCCAGTCCTCAGGCCCCGGCCCTCTTACACCGTACCCGTACCCGACACACATGCATTCCACCACCCCCAGCCACCAAAACGCAAACAACCCCTCTTCTTGCCCTTGAGAATTAGGCAAAATGCGTAACGAATATAAGCATTTACTATCAAGCTCCACTACACATTCAACTTGCACTGGTGGTGTAATGGTAACATCTAAGCTTCCCATGAGCGTTTTCGTGACTGGTCACCACTTAGTGGTGTTTGTATGCTTAGGCCCCGGGTTCGATTCCCGGCCAGTGCATAGATCTTCCAATTCGGAGACCATTTATATTTTGCTGTTAGCCCTTACCGGTTTCATTCATTTCTTTTCACTTTTTGCTGGACTGTGGACTCACTCAGTGCGGCATGTCTATTTGATTAGAAGCAGTTGGCTAGCAAGAGTCCGTTTTGATCGCTTGTCTTGCGTCGATCGACCTTAGGCACCTACAGTGCAGACACAGGCGAGGCCACCGCAGGTGAGAGTGCAGCAAGGTCGCCTGTCCGCATTTGTTGTAAGTCACCGTATAAAATACTTTCCTGGCCGCTCAAGAACACCTACGCAATCTTTGAATGAAGAAACAATCCGTCCACTGTAACGTGGATGGCTGGTCACTGACGGTGCGCGTGGCTGTCTAGCGGAGGCAGGATGGTTTGCAATGGGATAATCACACGAAATAGCGATTTTGCTCTGATTAGACCACGGCATAATCAGCAATACTATTGAGTCCTTTATGGATCCATTGATCAATCGGCTTGGTCAAAATCCAATGGATAGTTCGACTATGATTGTCCCACACCAGGTTTCTGTATTCTCGTTCTCTTCACTGTTATTTGGTTGCTGGACAAGCGTGTGTCGCGCTCGGCCACGCGTCTCTCCACCGTCCCCAGCTTGGCGATGGCCAGAAGCACTTCCCCTTTTCCATTGACCCGTCTGGCATACGGGTACTCCTCAAAGCCGACCACGGCGCACCATGTATGCAGAGCAACTTTTTCACCACAAGCCCACCTTCGTCATGGAAACCGCACCTTCGGAGACCGGGACGGGATGGCCGCTCGGCGGCAGCCTGGGGACAAGAGGGTCGCAGGACGAAGGGTCGCAAGGGGCCGGAGACATACAGGCAATGTCGGACAAGCTCGACACGGAGGCGATAGCGCTCGGGGTCATCTTGGACTCACCAGCGGCCAAAAAGCAGCCGGGGCGCGATAACTGGGTCGAAGAAGGATGTTTGCCAGCCATGCGGAATGAAGAGGACCGACTTGAGGAGGCAATGCAAGCGTCCGAAGTCGTCTTGGGCGCGCCAGTCCGTTTCTGCCCGGGCTGCTTCAATGAGGGAAGGGCCGGCGGATAGACCAGATACTCACCAGGGGCGAAACACGGATTCAACCCTTTCGACATTCGGAGCCGGCCAGCTGCCGCCTGGCGGCCCGACTAAAGGTGGTGGATGGAGTATAGCGTTGAAGGTTGGTAGTTAACCGGCTTCTCCGCTCACCTCACGCGGAAGGACGGCAGCAATAATGCAGGATGAGCGTTGATTACCTACCCAGTCTGCTGCTACGCAGATGGTTGACTCGAGAAGGCCGACCAGGAGGGCATCCCGAGTTGGTATATTAGGTACGTAGGTAAGTACATACCCGGGGAAAACACATCCCCACTCACTCCGACTTACGCGGCCGCGCCGACCTGAGCTTCGCCTTCAGCTCCCGGAAGGACCAGCCCAGGAAGTTGGTGATGATCCAGTCGAGCAGCGTGGCCCAGCCAAAGCGGCTGCCCAGCCAGTAGAGCGGCGCCAGGCCGCCGAGCCACAGGGTCTTGGACGGGCGGCGGGCGTACCGCTCGGCGCTCATGGTCTGCTTGCGGCGGTAGGTCGCGCCGGCGAGGTCGGCGCGGATGACGGCGCGGGCGGGTCCGTGGAGGGATGCGGGGGTCGTCGCGGTGCTGGTATCGTTCGGCTCCGGCGCCCCCGCCGGGGACTTGTTATTGCTGTCGTCGCCGGCATTGTCGTAGAAGCGGGTGTGCGGACGCCGCCGGTCACGACGTGCAGCACCTCGACGCCGAGGGGCGCCAGCTCGACGCGCAGCGTGTCGCTCAGCAGGCCCAGCGCCGCCTTGCTGGCGTTGTAGTAGACGCCGGACCACGGGATCGGGACGCGCGAGGCCACTGACCCGATGTTGACGATGCGCCGGGGGGGTGCTGCGGCCGTCGTCTCCCGAGGACGCCGCCGCGACCAGCTAACGGCGCGCACGCCTGGCACATGGCCAGCGCGCCCCAGACGTTGACGTCGAAGACGCGGCGCGCGCCGCGGCGGCCTCCACCTCCGGCAGCGGCACCTGGCAGCCCACGCCCGCGTTGTTGACCAGCAGGTCCAGGGTGCCGCCCGTCGGGCGCGCCACGGCGGCGACGGTGCGCTGGACCGCGGCCGCGTCGGCCACGTCCAGCGCCAGCACCTCGACGCCGCGGTCGCCGAGGCCCCGCATCTTCTCCGGCGTCCGGGCGGTCGCGAACACGCGCAGGCCGTGGCCGTGGAACTCCCGGGCCAGCGCCTCGCCTGTGCCCCCCTCGCTGCAGCCCGTGATGAGCACCGTCTTCTGGGAATGCGGCGGCATCGTGCTTGGCTGGTCGTCGTCGGTTCACGCTGGCTCCCGGAACGGCTTCTGCTTCGACGGTGGCCGGCCCATTGGACCTGACTGCTTACCTACCTAAGGTACCTCTAAGGGGTGGTATCGGTACGAATACCGAGGTGTGACTCGGTATGTGCATCGATAAATCGAGGGGCGATCTATCATCTATCAGTAGGTAGATCCTTCGTATCTCCACAGGTCGTCACCTCGGTTCTTCTCAGCATCTGCGCTCGAAGGTGAACTGCTTGGGCAGCAACCGCGTCGAGCGCGTCTACCGGCCACATGACAACCGAGTCAGTCGCTTTAAGCACTGGGGCTGAAAGTAGCGGCGCGTACGGTTGAGCACAGGGCTCAAGAGGAAAAAACCCCTCTAACCCTTATTACAATTC